ACACACACACACACACACACACACACACACACACACACACACACACATATCCATCTGGTCACAAAAGCCTGTGGAACCCCTTGCCACATGGTGCTAGTTTCTGAGAAGATTCTATTAGGAGTTGTTATAGGTCTGGCCCCTTAAGTATTTCTTACAACAATCTTAAGAGCAAGGTTTAACTCAAACCACAGCCACATTTAACCCAGCTCACAACAATAAACTCTGTTATGTGTTAACTGTTGCTGATGCATAAACTTTAGTTGGGATTGGTCCTGCTTTGAGCAGGGGGTTGGACTAGATACCTCCTGAGGTCCCTTCCAACCCTGATATTCTATGATTCTATGACAGAGGAAGGTAACAAATCTGATTAACTGTCCCAGATTGAGGTCTCATTAGAGGAGGTTTTGGAACAAATCGATAAATTAAACAGCAATAAGTCACCAGGGCCACATGGTATTCACTCAAGAGTTCTGAAGGAACTCAAATGTGAAATTGCAGGACTACTAACTGTAGTCTGTAACCTATCATTTAAATCAGTTTCTGTACCAGATGACTGGAGGATAGCTAATGTGATGCCAATTTTTTAAAAAGGCTCCAAAGTGATCCCGGCAATTACAGGCCTGTAAGCCTTACTTCAGTACCAGGCAAATTGGTAGAAACTATAGTAAAGAACAGAATTGTCAGACACATAGATGAACACGATTTGTTGGGGAAGAGTCAACGTGGTTTTTGTAAAGGGAAATCATGCCTCACCAATCTATTAAAATTTTTGAGAGACTCAACAAGCATGTGGACAAGGGGGATCCAGTGGAAATAGTGTACTTAGATTTTCAGAAAGCCTTTGACAAAGTGCCTCAGCAAAGGCTCTTAAGCAAAGTAAGCTGTCATGGGATAAGAGGGAAGGTCCTCTCATGGATCAGTAACTGGTTAAAAGATAGGAAACAAAGGGTAGGAATAAATGGTCAGTTTTCACAATGGAAAGAGGTAAATAGTGGTGTCCCCCAGGGATCTGTACTGGGACCAGTAGTGTTCAACATATTCATAAATGATCTGGAAAAAGGGGTAAATAGTGAGGTGGCAAAATTTTCAGATGATACAAAACTACTCAAGGTAGTTAAGTCCCAGGCAGACTGCAAAGAGCTACAAAGAGATCTCTCAAAACTGGGTGACTGGGCAACAAAATGGCAGATGAAATTCAGTGTTGATAAATGCAAAGTAATGCACATTGGAAAACATAATCCCAACTATGCATATAAAATGATGGGGTCTAAATTAGTTGTTACCACTCAAGAAAGAGATCTTGGAGTCATTGTGGAGAGTTCTCTGAAAACATCCACTCAATGTGCAGCAGCAGTCAAAAAAGTGAACAGAATGTTGGGAATCATTAGGAAAGGGATAGATATTAAAATAGAAAATATCATATTGCCTCTATATAAATCCATGGTACGCCCACATCTTGAATACTGCGTGCAGATCTGGTCACCCTATCTTTAGAAAGATGTATTAGAATTGGAAAAGGGCAACAAAGATTATTAGGGGTATGGAACAGCTTCCATATAAGGAGAAATTAATAAGATTGGGACTTTTCAGCTTGGAAAAGAGACGACTAAGGGGGAATATGATAGAGGTCTATAAAATCATGACTGGTGTAGAGAAAGTAAATAAGGAAGTGTTATTTACACCTTCTCATGAACACAAGAACTAGGGGCCACCAAATGAAATTAATAGGCAGCAGGTTTAAAACAAACAGAAGGAAGTATTTCATCACACAGCACACAGTGAACCTGTGGAACTCCTTGCGAGAGGATGTTGTGAAGGACAAGACTATAACAGGGTTCAAAAAAGAACTAGATAAATTCATGGAGGATAGGTCCATCAATGGCTATTAGCCAGGATGGGCAGGGATGGGGTCCCTAGCCTCTGTTTGCCAGAAGCTGGGAATGGGTGACAGGGGATGGATCACTGGATGATTCCCTGTTCTGTTCATTCCCTCTGGGGCACCTGGCACTGGCCACTGTCGGAAGACAGGATACTGGGCTAGATGGACCATTGGTCTGACCCAGTATGGCCGTTCTTATGTTCTTAAGGTTCATGTGCAGCTGCTGACATATAACCTCTTCTCCTTGGCATCTGCACCTCTAGCTTTCTCCTGAAAGGTCTGTGCACCACTCCACTCCCACTTAAGCCTTTAAAAACCTAGGAGATTCATACACAAAAACATTTCAGTGAAGCAGTTAGTTTCCTACACACAATATAACTGACAAACCCACAAAAGCAAAAAAAAGGAAATTCAAACCACCTGCTAGTATATAATCTCTACTCCTCCAACCACAGATACACACTTCACCATGGCTCCAGCTCACATGTATCTACCTTAACACTACCCCACAGGCTGCCAGTCTTCCATCATCCCGGTACTCCCTCCCAACACAGGACACTGCTAAACAAAACATCCACCGCTTTACCCAGAGTAATGGGCCAGTGCTCTCAGGTGATAAGCAAAATATTCTTGCAGCTTGGCTCAGGAACTTCGGTTCTCACCTGCCACCAGCTTCCTATATCAGTTCTTGGGCTTCCTATCCGGCTCTGCTTATGCACATCAGTCTTGAATTGCAGGACCCCCTGTTCCCCCGGCCCTCGGTTTATCCCAAACAGCTGGCCAGATATTGTATATTTTTGTACTCTTGCCAAGCAGTAGCAGGATTCATGGCCGTGCATGCTGGTTTCATGTTTGGAATTGAACACAATCCCGGGAATATTTCACTTCTTACAATGGGCACGGAATCATGTGACATGCAAATGTGTCTCAAAGATCCATTCATGAACCTCAGTCTGAACTCTCAGCAACCCCGTCCTGTTTCAGTCCTGGGGCTCCATACTTCCCTCCTTACCCCCAATTCACCCTGTCCAGTCCTTATTACAAACCAGCCCCAACTTGCTGCATCCGGCACTTCTCCAGCCTTCGACCCACAGCTGTGCCAATAAACTCCAGTCCTCGTCTGCTGCTTCAGTCTGGGACCAAACACAGCTCCATTGACAGGCCGCAGTCCTGACCTACAGCACTCCCCAGTCCTCCAGTCCTCGGTCTGTCCTCACCAGATGTTGCAAAGTGCTGTGCTGTGCGAGGTTTTCCCAGTGTATAAAAGTTCACTAGGATGAGACGTGAGCTCACTTCACTGTCAGCAGGATTCATTTGGATCCAAGACCTCTAGGATTTACTGACTTGATCAGTAGCCCCCTTGGCTGTCCATTTCCTTCCATAGAAAGTTAAAGCGTTAAGCCAAGTGTGAGCACAGGGCCACAAATCTTAGTTCTCTGCCACCTCTCTGGTACCTGCGCAGTGATGTTCTGAATCTGTCACACTTGTTCCCAACAGGGCCGGGGAGCGGCAGCCGACTCACTGGGGAATCAGAACTGAGGATCATCCTCGTCGGTAAGAGTGGAGGTGGGAAAAGTGCAACAGGAAACACCGTCCTTGGGCGGGAGACGTTTAAGTCTGTACTGGCGGCAAAGCCTGTTACGCAGAATTGTAGTGAAGGCATCAGGACCTGGAAAGGAAGGAAGGTTGTGGTTATTGACACGCCTGCTATTTTTGACACCAAGCCCTCTAATGAACAAACCACCCATGAGATCTGTCGCTGTGTCGCGCTCTCCTCCTCAGGCCCCCATGCGCTGGTGCTGGTGATCCAGCTGGGCCGTTTCACTGAGGAAGACCAGCGCGCCGTGAGGAGAGTACAAGAGATTTTTGGCCCCGAGGCCATGAAGTACACAATCGTCTTATTCACCGGCAGAGAAGACTTACGGAGTGGAACCCTGGAGGAGTATATCTCCCACTCGGATAACAAACATCTTCTGCAGCTGATCGAACAGTGTCAGGGCCGATACTGCGCTTTCAACAATAAAGCTACAGAGGCGGAACGGGCTGCCCAGGCTGAAGAGCTGATGACTAAGATTGCTGATATGGTGGAGAGGAATAAAGACCATCTGGTGTGTAAAGCACCTGAGAAGCTTCTAAAAGAAGATGAGACAGATAAAAGTAAAAATAAGATGGGCAAAGTGGAAGATGAAATGCAAGTGGATAGACAGGAAACAGCTCAAGAGGAAGAGCACTCATCCATGGAAACAGAGAAATCCTATAGGAAAAAATCAACACTGCTGAGAGAAGAAAACAAAGGTACGTTTCATTGTATGTTTGATCCCGCGCAGTAGTGTCGATAAGCCCTAAGGAACCTATCTAAGATACGCAACTCTAGCTACGTGAATAGCGTAGCTGAAGTCGACATACTTAGATCTACTTACTGCGGTGTCTTCACTGCGGTAAGTCGACAGCTGACACTCTCCCGTCGACTCCGCTTGCGCTCCTCGTTCTGGTGGAGTACCGGAGTCGACGGGAGAGTGCTTGGCAGTCAATTATTGCGATCCGGTGGGTAGTGTAGACAAGCCCACTGTTCCAGGTGCTCAGCACTGTCCCAGTGATGATCGGGATTAAGTTACATCCATTTTGTAGTTCCTATTGACTGCAGGGGCGCTTGGGGTGGGACACAGACCCACCCCGCCCAAGGGCCGCAGGGAGGGGGCAGCAGCCACGTGGAGCAAGCAGGCAGGGAGCCGCTCAGCTCTGCTGCGCTGCCGGTGATGAGTGGGGACCCCGGGGGGGGGGGGGGGGTTTAAAACCCCGGGGGGGGGGGGGGGGGGGGGGGGGGGGGGGGGGAAGGCAGGGGCGAGGGAGAGACCTGGCCTCAAACATTGCTGGAGCTGGGCCCTGGGCCAGGAATATTCCTGGTGCCCAGGCACCACGGGCCCACAGAACTCACTTCCTATGGTTCTCCTGTGTGTTTTTACCAGATTTGATAGCGTCAATGAAATTAGAGGTGGATGGAAGAGACCTACTAATTCATGTTGAATGTCTATATTGGGAAATGTTGGAGGGTTGTTCCCTACTCTGCAGTCTCCATTTTTTTTTTCAAATTAGTTTTATGCAATTAGTTTTGATGGGGCTTTTATCACTTAAGAGGTGGCTCTATCTGTTAGGAAGTTTTCCTGTTACCTTACGTTTTCTTTTGGCTCAGTATTATACCATTATTCTCAGTTATAAATCCTTGAGCCACCCAACAAGTCCATCCTTCCAAAACGCCAGTCAGTTTTATTGCTGTTCTCTAGAACCCCTGTAACTTACCCTGCCTGGTGATGAAGTGTTGAGATCTGACTGCAATATTCCAATTGTGATCACTCTCCGAGCCCTAGGGGCTCTCTCCCCTCTCTGCTCTAGGACGTTACGCCTCTGCAGCCCAAAGCCATACTGGCTTTTTCTGCTGACATGTCCCATTGCAAACTTCCTTCTAAATTGTTTCCCGAACACCCCCACAGACTCTAAAAAGTCATGAAAGGAATTTTGCTGCTGTCACCCGACAGACTCATAAGCATTTGTTTTCCTGTAGCACCTGGAGACTAAGGGTAAAATTTTCAAACTTGCTTGTCTTAAATCCTGCATCTGGGCCACTCGGAGACCCGCACCTCTCTCAGGCCGTGTCTACACTAGAAATGCGACAGTGGCACAGCTGTAGCAGTTCAGTGCAGGCACTTACTGCGCTGACAGGAGGGGTTCTTCCATCACAGTGGTGAATCCACCTCTCCGAGAGGTGGTCACTAGGCCAATGGAAGAATCCTTCTGTCGGCTTAGCACTGTCTACGCCGGGGCTTAGGTCAGCTTAACTACCTCTCTCCGGGGTGTGAATTTTTCATGCCCCTGAGTGATGTAGCTGGGTCAACCTAACTTTCTAGTGTAGAGCAGCCCAGTATCGAACATTTTATAAGGGTCAGTAAATGAAATTAGCAATTGCTCTTTACCGACATCACATACAGTGAAACCTTGACAAGAGATCAACTTATCAGCAAACAGGTCTTGAAATTACCCCCAAAGTATTCCCAAACATACTGAATTCACTTCAACTACACCAATATTAAACAACTATTTCCATGAAGCAACCAGTCTGTCACACTCTTGAGAGGCTTTTAATTGAAGTGTCCCTCACTTTGACGTCACGTAACTGTAGACAGGCCTGTGAGATTGCTTTCACTGACTGCCGAGGTAAATTCATTTCTATTTGGTGGGGAGGAGACAAGGATCTGCCCCAATGAACTATAAAGGTGAGATGCTGGAGAAAGAACTATTAGACTGGATGGTCCTACCATTTCCCTGACTCTGTACTCCATTATGTGAAACCCCCCAGTGTTTAAGGATTGTGATATGTCCTCCTAAACTCAGGTAGCTCTTTTACGACCTCCCACCACTTGTCTCCAATATTGCAGCAATTATCATTCATGATCCACTGATTACTCCCCTCATGGAGTCTGCCATCATCCTTCTCAGAACCCCCGCCTGAGATCTCCTCTCTTTCACCGGCTACTGCCCCCTTTCCACCTTTATTAGCAACATCTCATACGAGTTTAACTCTTCTCACCTACCTAACAAGCTCTGATCGCTCTGTCTGGCTTTTCTCCCTCTCCAGGCACCCAGTCAGCAAAGTCCTTTAGCACACACTAAAGTTAAGTTCTTTCTTGAACTGAGGCCCTTGTACTGAAATTGTTGTAGTGCACACGTGGCCAGTTGTCATACCCAGGCTCACCCTCCTTGCTTGGCCCCTCCTTCCCCCATTTCACCTTCTAGCCTAATTATAAACATGAAAAAACTAGGGCCCTCAAGCTATTAAAAATATTAATCGCAATTAAGCGTGTTGTAAATAATAGAATACATTTATTTAAATATTTTTGGATGTTTTCCACATTTTTAAAATATATTAATTTCAATTACAACACAGAATACAAAGTGCTCACTTTGTATTTATTTTTATTACAAATATTTTCACTGTAAAAAGAAACAAAAGAAATAATATTTCAGTTCAGCTCATACAAGCATCGTAGTGCAATCTCTTTATCATGAAAGTTGAACTTACAAATGTGGAATTATGCACTCAAAAATAAAACAATGTAAAACTTTAGAGTCTACAAGTCTACTCAGTCCTACTTCTTGTTCGGCCAATGGCTCAGAAAAACAAGTTTGTTTACATTTGCGGGAGATACGCTGCCCGCTTCTTATTTACAATGTCACCTAAAAGTGAGAACAGGCCTTTGCATGGCACTGTTGTAGCTGGCATCACAAGATATTTACGTGCCAGATGTGCTAAAGATTCATATGTCCCTTCATGCTTCAACCACCATTATAGAGGACATGCGTCCATGCTGATGATGGGTTCTGCTCGATAACAATCCGAAGCAGTGTGGACTGACACACATTCATTTTCATCATCTGAGTCAGATGCCACCAGCAGAAGGTTGATTTTCTTTTTTGGTGGTTCGGGTTCTGTAGTTTCTGCATCAGAGTGTTGCTCTTTTAAGACTTACGAAAGCATGCTCCACACCTTGTCTCGCTCGGATTTTGGATGGCACTTCAAATTGGGTCGAGTGCTGTAGCTATCTATAGAAATCTCACATTGGTACCTTCTTTGTGTGTTGTCAAATCTGCAGTGAAAGTGTTCTTAAAATGAACAACATGTGCTGAGTCATCATCTTAGACAGCTATAACATGAAATATATGGCAGAATTCGGGTAAACACAGAGCAGGAGACCTACAATTCTCCCCTGAGAAGTTCAGTCACAAATTTAATTAATGCATTATTTTTTTAACGAGTGTCATCAACATGGAAGCATGTTCTCTGGAATGGTGGCTGAAGCATGAAGAGGCATACAGATTTTTAGCATTCTGGCATGTAAATACCTTGCAATGCCGGCTACAAAAGTGCCATGCGAATGCCTGTTCTCTCTTTCAGGTGACACTGAAAATAAGAAGCAGGCAGGATTATCTCCTGCAAATTGTAACCAAACTTATTTGTCTGAGCGATCGACTGAACAAGAAGTAGGACTAAGAGGACTTGTAGGCTCTAAAGTTTTACATTGTTTTATTTTTGAGTGCATTCATGTAATAAAAAATAATTCTACCTTTGTTGCACTTTCACAATTAAGCGATTGCACTGCAGTACTTGTATGGGGGCAATTGAAAAATATTATTTCTTTTGTTTATAATTTTTACAGTGCAAATATTTGTAACAAAAATATATATAAAATGAGCATTGTATACTTTGTATTCTGTATTGTAACTGAAATCAATATATTTGAAAGTGTAGAAAACATCCAAAAATATTTAATAAATTTCAATTGCTATTCTGTTATTATTTAACAGTGTGATTAAAACTGTGATTAATCGTGATTCATTTTTCTGCGTTAATCACATGAGTTACCTGCAATAAATTGACAGCCTTAGAAAAAAAATCTCCTTCTTGGGCTCCTGGCACAGACTGCTGAATGCTGGAGTGCACCGTGCATGGCAGAGGCCCTCTTCTCCCACTACAGTAGGCAAACATCTCCTACTAAAACCCTGCAGTAGAACACAGCCCTGAGTTTTGCTCCTAACTATGCAAGTGCCTCTTCTCTGTAACTGCACTGGCCTTTCTCCACCATTCATTCTTTTGTTATGCAGTTTCCCCTCTCTTGGTTTAACGCTTGTCTCCCTCTTCTGTCCGTCACCCCTTTGGCCATCTCTTTTCTGGATAATACTGGGTATTATTCCCATGCAAAGATACCCAGAACTGTGTGTCCACTCTTTCAGCTCTCCCGTCCTTCCTTGCCCTCCTCATCAACTCCTGCCTCTGCTCTAGCTTCCTTCAGCTCCACATCTGCTTCATTAGTAAGAGCAGCCTCTATATCCCCACCCCCTTCCATCTTCTTCCTTGACTCACACCTCACATTCACCCGGAGTTATTCAGTTTAACCCCAGTTATCTGTAGCCTCCTGAATCCCTCCGGTCAGTCAATCTGCATTCTACAGTCATCCCTGAACACTGACTGGGGCCAGGGTACAGCAACCCAGAATCCTAGTTACGGCCTCACATGGGTCTTCACCCCGTGCCATGGCCCTGCTGCTGCAGCCCGGCCCAGGCCTAGGGTGGTGAAGGGTGGGGCCAGCCACACAAAGGCTGGGTGCTGGGCTAGTGGGGTCCTGCCATTGCTCCTCTTTGTGCAGGCTGGGGCCTCCCTCCTCTCTGGATCACTGCGGCTGGACTTCAGGCAGGTGGGTCCTGTCCAGGATGGATCCTGCACCTCACTCCCTTCTGAGCAGAGCGCCTACCGCCACCACTCAGGGACAGATTTGCACCTTATGCACCTCTAGGCACAGCATCTTCAGTGCCCATCCACCACCACCACTGACCCTGGTGTTTTCCACAAAAAATGAAACTTTTAACCCACTTTTAACTTGTAGGCACCCCCAGAATGCCGGCACCCCCAGGCATGTGGCTACTGTGCCTAATTGGAAATCCGTCCCTATCACCACCTCAGCCCAGGACTCTGGGTGCAGGGTCTCGCCACCACCCTCATAGAGCTGACCACTAGCGTAGCTAGGGGGGGAGCAGAGGGAGCGGGCGCTCCCCCTGAGCACATTATCCAAAAGTGGCACCTTAGGTGCCTCTCCCTGGGTGCTCCGGGGCTGGAGCACTCATGGGGAAAATTTGGTGGGTGCAGAGCACCCACCGGCAGCTCCCCGCCCCACCCCCCAACCCCAGCTCACCTCCACTCCACCTCCTCCCCTGAATGCCGCCCTGCTCTGCTTCTCCGCCCCTCCCCCCTGGCTTCCCGCGAATCAGCTGTTTGCGCGGGAAGCCTGGGAGGGCGGAGAAGCAAGCGGCAACTTCGCGCTCAGGCCCAGGGAGGTGGAGCGGAGGTGAGCTGGGGCAGAGAGCGGTTCCACTCGCGCCCCCCGCCCCAGCTCACCTCCGCTCCGTCTCCTCCACCCCTGAGCACGCTGCTGCTCCCCCCTCCCTCCCAGCCTTGCCGCGCGAAAGCTTGGGAGAGAGGGGGGGTGTAGGGGAAATGCGGCACGCCCGGGGAGGAGGCGGGGCTGGGGATTTGGGGAAGGGGTTGGAACGGCGCCTTTTTTTCTGTGTTCGCTTCCCCTGACCTTAGAACCTGGCTACGCCACTGGAGCTGACGTGGGGTGGCAGGAGATCACACACAGGATATGCCCCCAGCCCCGACACACAGAGGTGGTGTCAGCAGGGCCCCCCAGGCAGGAACCCCTGCTCCAGGGGAGGGGGAGCAGCAGCCAGCGGTCTCTGCTTTATTCTGTGTGCAGAATGAGTGTTCGAGCTCAAATCTCAGACCCACAGCCTCCCCTCCCCCTTCCCTCTCCTCTTAATGTATACCTGCCCTCCTTCCAGTGACCCCTGCAGTCACTCTGACCCTCTCCTCACCTCGCTCATTGCAGTCCCATGCTCACTGCCACCTCCTCTCCCTCCCAAACGTTCATTCTCTCTCATCCGTCCCCTCCTGGCTCTCAGGTATCAGCTTGAGCTCTGGGTCATGTGCTCCACACCCTCGAGAGGGGAGCTCCTCACAGGGCCCCATTTCCTCCTCCAGCTTCCCCCTGGCCCCTTGCCACTGGCAGGAGTTCAGGCCATACCCCGCCCCTTCCCGTGAGCAATGGCAGCGGGGGCTCAGTCTGCCCTGGTGGTGGGACTGGGACCCAGCAGCTCCTCTCAGCCCTGTTCCTCCTGCACCCCCCATTCCCTCTACTCTCCATTCCTGTGAGCCCCCCACCCTCACACCGGTTACCAGCCCCGCCCCTGGCCCCTCTGATTTTCCGCTCAGGCCCCTCCCTCCCATCCATCACCTCCCCTCTGCCTTCTCCCTGCCCTGCCCTGCCCCACCCCTGGGAGCCAGGCAGCAGGGGCCCGGTGAGGGTGATGCTGAGGAGCAGCAGCTCAGAACACTCCCCATTGGCACACGGAGCTACCAGCACCGCGCCTGGAGACAGCCCGTGCTGTGGTCAGTGACCTCCAACCCCACAGCCAGACCCATGTCCCCCATTCTGTGCGTGGGAGGAGGTCACTGATACCAGCTGTCTCTGCTCCATGGCCGGGCCTGATCCCTGCCTGGGAGGAGTCCAGCACATTGGGTGTAGACAGCTGTGTCCTGGTTTAGGGATGTTGCTAGTTCCTTGATCTTACTGAGATACGGGACACTGCGCCGGCTGGTAATTAGGAGGATCTGCTGAGTCCATAGACCAGGGGTCAGCAGCCTTTGGTACCCGGCCCATCAGGGTAAAGCTGCTGGTGGGCCGGGACAGTTTATTTACCTGGAGTGTCCGCAGGCACGGAGCCTTGGCCCGTGCCGCTTCCCGCAGCTCCCATTGGCTGGGAACGGTGAACCACGGCCAGTGGGAGCTGCGGGGCTCCGTCCCCGTGGGTGCTCCAGGTAAACAAACCGTCCAGGCCCACCCTGATGGGCTGGGTGCCAAAGGTTGCTGACCGCTTCCATAGACATTGTTAGTGAGAACTGGCTGGATTAGGTGTGCTGCAGGGTGGGCGCTGGGGTTACCTCCTCTTGGGGATGCTGCCAATCTCTCAGAAAGGGCTCGGCCTGCTCCTGGGGGTCTTTCACTCCCCACAATGGGCACAGAGTCAAGTGACATGCGCATGTATCCCAGAGATCCGCCCATGAACCTCAATCTGATTTCACAGCACCTCTCCCCTTCCAATCCTGGGGCTGCAGCCTTCCCTCCCCATCCATCTCTATATCACCAGTTTATCCTGTCCCAGCCTCATTTCAAACCAGCCCCAACTTGCTGCATTCGGCGCTTCTCCAGCCTTGGCCCCACGGCTGTGCCAATAAACTCCAGTCCTCGTCTGCTGCTTCTGTCTGGGACCGAACACAGCTCCATTAACAGGCCTCAGTCCTGAATGCAGCACTCCCCAGTCCTCCAGTCCTAGGTCTGTCCTCACCAGATGGTGCAAAGTGCTGTGCTGTGCGAGGTTTTCCCAATGTAATAAAGTTTCACTAGGATGAGACGTAAGCTCACTTCACTTTCAGCAGGATTCATTTGGATCCAAGACCTCTAGGATTTAACAACCAGATCAGTAACCCCTTTCTCCACCCATTTACCCTTCCATAGAAAGTTAAAGCATTAAGCCAAGTGTGAGCACAGGGCCACAAATCTTAGTTCTGTGCCACCTCTCTGGTACTTGCGCAGTGATGTTCTGAATCTGTCACACTTGTTCCCAACAGGGCTGGGGAGCAGCAGCCGACTCACTGGGGAATCAGCACTGAGGATCATCCTCGTCGGTAAGAGTGGAGGTGGGAAAAGTGCAACAGGAAACACCATCCTTGGGCAGGAGACGTTTAAGTCTGTACTGGCGGCAAAGCCTGTTACGCAGAATTGTAGTGAAGGCATCAGGACCTGGAAAGGAAGGAAGGTTGTGGTTATCGACACGCCTGCTATTTTTGACACCAAGTGCTCTGGTGAACAAACCACCAATGAGATCTGTCGCTGTGTCGCACTCTCCTCCCCAGGCCCCCACGCTCTGGTGCTGGTGACCCAGCTGGGCCGTTTCACTGAGGAAGACCAGCGCGCCGTGAGGAGAGTACAAGAGATTTTTGGCCCCGAGGCCATGAAGTACACAATCATCTTATTCACCCGCAGAGAAGACTTATGGAGTGGAACCCTGGAGGAGTGTATCTCCTACTTGGGTAACAAACATCTTCTGCAGCTGCTCGAACAGTGTCAGGGCCGATACTGCACTTTCAACAATAAAGCTACAAGGGATGAACGGGCTGCCTGGGCTGAAAAGCTGCTGACTAAGATTGCTGATATGGTGGAGGAGGAGAATAAAGACCAACCGTTCTACACTAATGAGGTGTATGAAAAGGCTGAGAAGCTTCAAAGGGTAAAAGCCAGGTTTTGTGAGAAAGATGAAAGACCACGTCGGTGTGAAATAGAGGAGGCTGAGCTTAGAGAATGGATAGAAACACAGAAATCCTATGAGAAAAAACAAAAATCCAAGGTTGATAAAAATAATCCTAATCCATGGGGTTTCCTTTTCCCAGTGCCAAGTGTTCTAATGCCAAAATGGCTGAAGTTCTGAAATGATGGTAACTGAGCTACGTCTGTTGTCTGGTTCTCCTGTGGATTTACCAGGCTTTGTAGAGGCTCAGGAATTAGAGACGGAGGGAAAAGAACTTTTAACTCTTCCTAAGTAACATTTTTGAAAGCACCTCAGGGTGTGTCTGCACGGCATTTTGGAGTGCGCGGGAGCACGTCTCTCAGCCCAGGTTGATAAAAGCCCACCCAAACCCTCAGGCTTCAGAACCCGAGCTTCAGCTCGAGCTGAAACTTCCCAGAGCTGTCTCTAAAGCTGTTTTTAGAGCACTAGTGCGAGACCTGCTAGCCCAGGCTGGGATGCTTGCTCCAAAATGCTGTGTAGACGTACTCCACGTGACTTCAGAGCCTATGTCCCGTTTTCTCCAGGTCTTGGGGGATTGAGACTTTGGAGGATTGTTCCCGACAGTCAGTGGCGTAGCCAGGTTCTAAGAGCAGGGGGTGAGAACACATTAAAAAAGGCGCCACCTGCTGCAAAGCAGCGAAGAAAAAAAAATTAAAAAATGCACTTCCATCCTTTAAAAAAAAGGAAAAAAACCCCATAATATATGGAGATGTACCTATCTCATAGAGCTGGAAGGGACCCTGAAAGGTCAGCGAGTCCAGCCCCCTGCCTTCACTAGCAGGACCAAGTACTGATTTGTGCTACAGATCCCTAAGTGGCCCCCTCAAGGATTAAACGCACAACCCTGGGTTTAGCAGGCCAATGCTCAAACCACTGAGCTATCCCTCCCCCTGGAACATGCTTCCAATTCCACCACTAAGTGATACCGGCAGTACCCAAATGCCATTCCAGCTCCTCAAAAATGTGCTAGAATGGGGTTTCGGAGTATTCCGGCACAAGTCAAGCCTTGGTGCTGAGTGACCTCTCTCGCTGGAGCCCCGTTACCTAGCTTCTGTAACCTTGTTCTTTCCTGCCCAGTGCTTTCTCTTCCTGTAGGACTCCTATTTGTTCTGCTCCTGGTACAGTTTTCCAGTGCTCCTACCTTCCCTCCCCCTCCCTCCTACAGTCAGCTAAACTGGTTTTCTAAGGATGCAGCTCACTCATTATCCCAGATGTTTACACCTGAATAGGGTTGTTAAGTTCTAATCACCTTCTTAATGCATCTGTTGGGTGCATATGTGCTCCAGGGCCTGTCAGCAGTACTGGCTTGGGCTCCACTTGTAGAGAGACATTCATAATACAAAAAAGAACAGGAGTACTTGTGGCACCTTAGAGACTAACAAATTTATTAGAGCATAAGCTTTCGTGGGCTACAACCCACTTCTTCGGTTGTAGCCCACGAAAGCTTATGCTCTAATAAATTTGTTAGTCTCTAAGGTGCCACAAGTACTCCTGTTCTTTTTGCGGATACAGACTAACACGGCTGCTACTCTGAAACCATTCATAATACAGCAGGTTTGCATACTCAGCTTCAGAATATCAAGCAGAATTCATAAATTGTACAGATCTAGCCCTAATCCATCACAGGAGGATACTATGGGACATAGTTGATGCACAAAGGATAGCTCTTCTATGGCCAAAGAGGAATAAGAAGCAAGCATAGTAAAGAGCACCCAGGGAGTCGGCGCCTAAGGCACCACTTTTGAGAATGTGCTCAGTGGGGGAGCGGCCACTCCCCCTGCTCTCCCCTAGCTATGCTACTGCCGACAGTATCTACTCCAATGTTTTGTTCCATTCAGTCTTAAACAAATCACTGATGGAAATCATCTGTTTGTTAATGAAAGCCCACTATCTGTTAGGAAAATGTCCTGTTACCCTAATTGTTCTTTTCTTCAATTTCACCCAGTTATACCTACGTATAAATCTTAACAGTTCAGTTCTTCCAAATGCCCAATCCATTTTACTGCTCGTCTCCAGCACCCCTGTAATTCACCTTTTCTGGTAGTGAAATGCCAAGGTCTGAAAGCACCATTCCAAGAGTGATCGCTCCAAGAGTTCTAGCCAGCCCTGTCACCTCCCTGCTCTGGGACATGATGGCTCTGCAGCCCAAAGGCACATTGGCTTTGTCTGCTAACACCTCACATGGCAAACTCACGTCTAATGTGTGTGTTTCCCTCAATCCTATAATCTCTAAAAAAGTCATTAAAGGAATTTCACTGTTTCATAACTCTACGAATTCCTAAATCCTGCATCTCAACAGCTCATATGTCCTCACCCAATATTAGTGCAGAATGTTTATACAGATATCAGTAAGTCAAACCATTAATTAGCATTTGTTCTTTACTAATATTATGTACTGAGAAATCTGTACCTAATACACCTTATTGTGAAAACATGTCTTAGGAGACCGCTGTAGTATAAACCTCTCAAAATTAAACAAACATTGTTTAGAGAAATGTCAGAATTATTTTGTATTCATGTTTTGATTTATGATGAAAATGAAATTGAGCAGGTAATCTAAGGTTCTGATGTATGAAATATTAGACAGTTGTAGTGAAAAATATATGAAATAACCAAATTAATTTTTTACATCCTGGTAGAGTGAGACTTTTTTTAAAGTTATTGATACATTGGTTGCCAAAGCTTGTAAAAGCCTGCAGAAGATACATGCCCTTTAAAGTGAGAGAACCTAATGAGTGTTCTCTTTGTTCTTCTAAAGCAGGGTTAGCAACCTATGGCACGGGTGCCAAAGGCGGCACGCGAGCTGATTTTCAGTGGTACTCCCACTGCCCGGGTCCTGACCACCAGTCCGGGGGGCTCTGCATTTTAATTTAATTTTAAACGAACCTTCTTAAACATTTTAAAAACCTTATTTACTTTATATACAATAATAGTTTAGTTATATATTATAGACTTATAGAAAGAGACCTTCTAAAAATGTTAAAATGTATTACCGGCACACGAAACCTTACATTAGAGTGAATAAATGAAGACTCGGCACACCACTTCTGAAAGTTACTGACCCCTGTTCCAAATTAATAGAAAAGTAATCGTTTCCTGGTAACAAATATTAGAATTGTACATGCAAGATCAGGTCTGGATTCTGCTTTCTCTAACTCTAAATTGGTTTGTCTTTAAAAACTATGCTTACAGTTTGCACTTGTATTTCAATGAGTTACAATAAAATATTTGCGTCTCTATTTTATATATGGTTACAAATATGGGATTTTTTTGTTTTGTTCCCTTAGGGTGAAAATCACCCTAGTGCAGAGAGTCAGCTCCAGGCCAAGGCACCACTTTAAACCAACTTAAGTCCTTAAAATACATCTTTAAGTGGATTTAAATGATGGTGCTGTGTGTGCTGCCTCTGTACAGGGGTGAAATTCACCCATAACATTTCAGTTACAGGCCCCATCTCTGAACATGTTTATATTGACACTTAGATAGAAAAGAATTTAGACTTTTTAAAAATCTGAGAACTCATTAAAATATTTCAATGTGTTTGTAAAAAATCATAAACTGAAATTGAACACCAGCCATAAGAACATAAGAACGGCCACACTGTGTCAGACCAATGGTCCATCTAGCCCAGGATCCCGTCTTCCAACAGCGGCCAGTGTCAGGTACTTAAGAGGGAATTAATAGAACAGGCAGCCATCGAGTGATCCTCCCGTCTTGTCCACTCCCAGCTTCTGGTGGTCAGAGTTTTAGGACACCCAGAGCATGGGGATTGAGTCACTGATCATCTTGGCTAATAGCCATTGATGGACTTATACATTCATAGATTCATAGATTCTAGGACTGGAAGGGACCTCGAGAGGTCATCAAGTCCAGTCCCCTGCCCTCATGGCAGGACCAAATACTGTCTCCATCAACTTATCTAATTCTTTTTTGAACCCTGGTATATTTTTGGCAACATCCCTGGCAATGAATTCCACAGGTTGACTGTGTGAAGAAGTACTTCCTTTTGTTTGTTTTAAACCTGCTGCATATTCATTTCATCAGATCACCTCTAGTTCTTGTGTTATGTGATGGAGTCAATAACACAGCCCTATTCCCTTTCTCAATACCACACATAATTGTATAGACTCTATCCTATTCCCCTTAGTCATCTCTTTTTTAAATGGAACAATCCTAGGCCTGGTCTACACTACGATTTTAGGTCAAATTTAGCAGCATTACCTCGATTTAACGCTGCACCCGTCCACATGACGAAGCCCTTTTTTCCGACTTAAAGGGCTCTTAAAATCAATTTCTTTACTCCATCCCCAACGAGGGGATTAGAGCTGAAATCGGCCTTGCGGGGTCGAATTTGGGGTAGTGTGGATGCAATTCGACGGTATTGGCCTCCGGGAGCTATCCCAGAGTGCTCCATTGTGACCGCTCTGGACAGCGCTCTCAACTCAGATGCACTGGCGAGGTAGACAGGAAAAGCCCCGCGAATTTTTGAATTTCATTTCCTGTTTGGCCAGCGTGGCAAGCTGATCAACACAGATGAACATGCAGAGCTCATCAGCAGAGGTGACCCATGGAGTCCCAGAATCGCAAAAGAGCTCCAGCATGGACCGAACGGGAGGTACGGGATCTGATCGCTGTATGGGGAGACGAATCAGTGCTAGCTGAACTCCGTTCCAGTAAACGAAATGCCAAAACATTTGAAAAAATCTCCAAGGGCATGAAGGACAGAGGCTATAACAGGGACTCGCGGCAGTGCCACATGAAAATTAAGGAGCTCAGGCAAGCCTACCAAAAAACCAGAGAGGCAAACGGCCACTCCGGGTCACAGCCCCAAACATGCCGCTTCTATGATGAGCTGCATGCCATTTTAGGGGGTGCAGCCACCAGTACCCCAACCCTGTGCTTTGACTCCTTCAATGGAGTAGAACGCAACACGGAAGTGGGTTTTGGGGACGAGGAAGATGATGATGAGGAGGTTGAAGGTAGCTCACAGCAAGGAAGTGGAGAAACTGGTTTCCCCAACAGCCAGGATCTGTTTCTCACCCTGGACTTGGCACCAGTACCCTCCGAACCCACCCAAGGCGTGCTCCCAGACCCTGAAGGCGGAGAAGGGACCTCTGGTGAGTGTATCTTTGTAAATATTA